TTTTTTTAATTGATTTGATAGTTATAAAAAAAATTATAAATTAAATTTAGTATTTTATCTCATTAATTATCTTAATTTATATTATTTTTATCGACTATTTAAAATAAAAAATTAAAAAAAACTTAAAAAAATAACTTGTCAAACAAGGCGTAGTTTCTCGTTTGGTACGTAGTCTTTGGGCCAGTGATTAGTTTCTTTTGGATTATTTTATCGAAAGGATAGAAACTTTTTATTTTATTATATTTTGATAGCCCACTTTAAGCTATCCATTCAATTTTTGTGGGACCAAGGGTTTAAGGGGGAAAGCACACTGAGGGCTGCTATTTTTTATTTTTTTTTCTCAGGATCTCTTCTCCTTTTTTTTTTTTTCTTTTTTTTTTAATTTTAATTTTATTTTATTTATACTCTCATCCTTAGCTTTCTAACTTTAATTTTGTAGGGCATGGCTTCTGTTCAATCTTTAATTTGACTGGATCGTACTGTTAGTCCCATGGGGTCCACCATGGGTCCCTTTTTTATAATCTAAACCGTTCAATGTGCAGAACTCGTCGAATACTATATGCCTGTAAAACATCACATTAATCGGATATTGATAGCTATGTGATCAAATTAGTTTTGTATAAAAAAAATGGACGGTAAATAAATTAACGGTTGACAAAAATCTATTTTGATCACATAGCTATCGATATCCGATCAACGTGATTTTTTACAGGCATATAGTACTCGACGAGTTCTACACATTAAACGGTTTAGATTATCCAAACAGAACCCGTGGTAGACTTTCACAGACCCAACAAAAAGGTCCATTAAGGACTGAACAGAAGCCATTCCCAATTTTGTATACTCTAACCTTAATTTTACCCGTTACCTCTATCACTTCCGACAACAATTAATCACCCTCCTTAATCACAACTGCCAATTCTATTTATTTTTGATATTTTTTAAATATAAAAATTATAGTTTTAGATCAAAATGAAAAATTATTTTTTTGAATTGAATTTTAAAAAGAGTTTAGTTATGAGTTTTGAATAGAATTTTCAATAGAATTTTGAATTGTGTATTTGGTTATGAGTAATAAATTTTCCAATTGAGTTTCATAATCAAACAATTCTTTTCATTTCATATGTCACATCAAAAATTTAAAACTCACAACCAAACAAAATTTTTTTTTCAATCATAATTCTAAAACTCACAAACTCAAAGAGATGTTTTGGAAAATTCGTAAAAAGTTGACTTTTGACTTTTTATCAAGCTTTTTGACTTTTTTGAAAAGCGATTTGAGAAGTTGGTAAAAAGTTGCTTTTGACTTTGTTAGTTAGTATTTATTTATGATGTCACATCACAATAAAATGACCAAACTATCCCCCACCCAATTTAGAAAATTTATATTTTCATCCATGTATAACCCTAAATAATATAAATGGTACAATTGTAATTTTATATGTAACTTTTTTTCACCTTGCCAAATGATTTCTTGTTAAAAAAGCCGATGTAGACTTTTTTCCCCAAGCTGCAAACACAATTTTTTACCATGTTGCCAAAAGGCCATAAAATACAACTCTATTTTTAAATCATAATTCTAAAATTCTGTCAAATACTACCTTAATTTCCCACAAAGAGATTAATATTTCAAAAAGTTTAAGTACTATAAAATCGGAGCTCTAAATAACTTTTAGGGGATGCACCTCATCCATTAATGTAATATTTTGACTTATTTTATTTTATTTTTTTATCATATTATTAAAATTCAATTAGAATTTTAAAATTAAATTAAGGAATATATCATTGTCCTTAATATTTAGGACGGAGAAATATTTTATTTGTCTTATTATTATACTGTTTTTACCTGCACCGTCCCATCATCGATTTCCAGAGTATTCTATTCGATTCGAGGAGAAAACTCACAGCCGTCCGATCTAATCACCACCACACCCACTCTGACAGATGTACAGTCTGATTTGTTTCGAATCCGAACATTTCCGTAAAACTCGCTGTCCACATTGTCCAAATAACCAAAACGACGCCGTCATAGTATAAACAATGCCGTTTAACGCAAATCTAAACTACGTGAGCCGCCACCGCACATTTTAATGGGGGATTTGGTAATAACCCTCTCACTATTTAATTTGTTTTTCAAAAGGATAAGAATTATATAAGTACTTTCAAAACTCCCTAATATTTTAAAACTTATTTCTTTTCCTATATTACCCTCATATCTATCAGCTCTCCTATTAAGTCATCTTCACTATATATTTCAGAGTAAAATTTTACTCTGTATGAAAGTAAAATTTTACTCTGTATGAAAGTAAAATTTTACATTCTGAAACTAAAAATAAAATTTTACCCTGTATGAAAGTAAAATTTTACTCTGAATAAGAGTAAAATGTTACACTCTGAAACTAAAAGTAAAATTTTACTCTGTATAAAAGTAGAATTTTACTCTGAAAAACTAGTAAAATGTTAGACTCTACACAAAAGTAAAATTTTACTCTGTATAAAAGTAAAATTTTACTCTGAAAAATGAGTAAATGTTAGACTCTACACAAAAATAAAATTTTATTCTGTATAAAAGTAAAATTTTATTCTGGTTCTGTCAAATGAAAAAAACAGAGCAATAGAACCAGAGTAAAATTTTACTCTGGTTCTGTCAAATGAAATTAGATAAAAAACAACAAAAATAAATAAAAAACAAACAAACAAACAAACAAACAAACAAACAAAAACAAAACAAATTAATCAACAAATCCACATATCTAATTGAAACGAAAAACTTCTAAAACTCGATCAACAATCACACATCTCAATGAAAAAGAATACTTGTGTTCAACAACAGTCATCCATCTGCTCCGAAACCCTAGCTTTCGAATCTCCAACGACATCCTCATTCAATTTCAACAAAATTAAAGATGAAAGTCGATAAATTTATGTAGAAACATCAACAAAAATCGCGAAATGTGAAGAGATTCGAATGATTTGTGAATTTAACATAAACAGATAGGTATTGAATCGATTGTACCTGGAGATTGTAGAGACGATTCAATAGCTATTCATTTGTGGTTTCTGAGCAGAGTTGTGAAATCGAAAATTTAGGGTTTCATGGAAGACAGTCTCTGCAACGGTTGTGCGAAAACTGAGAGAGAGACAGAGAGAGAGAGGACGAAGAAGGTGGAAAGATCTAGTTGAGGGGTATAATAGTCTGATAAAATATTTAAATAATAAATTGTGTCATTTATGTAAGATTTTATAATTATGAGGGGGTTTAGAAAGTATAATTTTTTTCTTAGTCCTTTTAACAATGAAATGAAGATAAAAGGGATTTATAGCTAAATTTTTTCATTTTAATTGATAAGAGAGTTTACTCCTCTTCTTAGCCTTGCTTTGGATAGTAATTCCACTTTATGATTTTTTTTTGATTATTTTAATTTATCATTAAAAAGTTTAATTTGAAAAGAGTTTTTGATTTTTTAATTTTTTTTTTAAAAAAATATAATAATTATGAATTGAATATAATATTTTATTTTATTTAAACAAAAAAATTTATTTTATTTTATTTTTGACTATTTTAATCTTAAACCCACTTTCCAAACAATAGCTTATTAATGGGAGACTTATTTATAAGTCTTTTTTCAGACACTTATGTTAGGTTAAGTCCTGTGTAATTTTTTATAGAGTCTCAAGTCTTATTTAGCCTCCGTTTGGGAAGTGGGTTGGTTTTTGGACTTTTTGACTTTTTTGACTATTTTAGTCTGGGCTAAAAAGTTTAGTTTGGGAAGGGCTTTTTGACTTTTTTGATTTTTTTGTAAGAGAAGAATATAATAATTATGGGTTGGATGTGATATTTTGTTTTTTGTGGCTAAAATAGCCTATTTTGTTTTTTGTGACTAAAATAACCAAAAAAATCCTATTTAGCTCTTGCCAAACGGAGCCTTAAATAGAAATATATTCCACAAGATCCTACATAAACGTAACGTGACGTGCATAAACGTAACGTGACGTTTTATAAACGTAACGTAATGTGACACTTATATAAACGTAACGTGACACTTACATAAACGTAACGTAATGTGACACCTACATATATGTAATGTAACGTAACACCTATACAAACGTAACGTAACGTGACACCTATATAAATGTAATGTGACACCTACATAAACGTAACGTAACGTAACGTGTCACGTTACGTTTCGCAAACTTAATGAGTTTTTATTTTTTTAAATTGAATGTGCAAATATTGTTGGCTTATGTTGGTGTCATGTTACGTTTCATATAAATATAATTTATGGTAACATTTAATTTTCTATATAGTTACCTATATAAACGTAACGTGACACCTACATAAACGTAATGTAACGTGTCACGTTACGTTTCGCAAACTTAATGAGTTTTTATTTTTTTAAATTGAATGTGAAAACGTTGCTGGCTTATGTTGGTGTCACGTTACGTTTCATATAAATATGATCTATGTTATAGGAAATTAAATGTTGTCATAGATCACAGGTGTTACGTTACCTTTATATAGGTGTCACGTTACGTTACGTTTATGTAGATATGTCAAGTTACGTTTATATAGGTGTCACGTTACGTATAGGTGTCATGTTACATTTATGTAGGTGTCACGTTACGTTACGTTTATATAAATATGATGTATGGCAACATTCAAACTTTCACAGGATTTATGAGAACATATTTTTTTAATAGGATCATATGTAGCATAAGTCTCCCTAATAGGACTTCTAAATAATTTTTTCATTATTAATTAGGGTTCAAATATTTTACGATTTAAGTGAAAGTCTAACGAAATAGATCGGCTAACTTTTTTAATTTGATTTGTAAGAATCTCCTGCCTTCTAAGCATCAAAATAAAATAAAAAAAATAATAACAAATAAAAAATAAAAAAATAAACGGCGTGAGCCTCCTAGAAGATTCATCAATCAAGCCACCAACGCTTATAAATAAGCAATACCATTAAACCCAAAGAACTCACCAAATCATTCTCACATTTCCATTTCCGTCTTCTCAAAAACACTCCTCAATCTCTCTCTAGATCTCTCTCTCTCTCTCTCTCTCTCTCGAATTTTCTTGAAACCCAAATGGCTCCTCCTGAAGTTGTTGTGAGTGGAACCACCAGGGCCACCACCCTGGCCAAGGCGGCGAGCCTGACGAGCCGAGCATATGTCACGTTCTTGGCTGGGAACGGTGACTATGTGAAGGGCGTGGTTGGGCTGGCAAAGGGCTTGAGGAAGGTCAAGACTGCCTACCCGCTTGTGGTGGCGGTGCTGCCAGACGTTCCGGAGGAGCACCGCCGTATGCTGGTGGCTCAGGGCTGCATAGTCCGTGAGATCGAACCCGTTTACCCACCCGAGAACCAGACCCAGTTCGCTATGGCCTACTACGTAATCAACTACTCCAAGCTTCGTATCTGGGAGGTATGCCTACACTGTCTAATACATGTACTCAGAAATTTTACTTCAAATTTTAATTGAAAATATTAATATGATCCATGACCTCGTAATGCACTCATTTAATTTTTACCACATACTTTACTTTAATTCTGGACACAAATTTAAATTTATATTTAAAATTCCGGAACTTTCTGATATGTCGGTGGTCTCCAATATTTATGGGATGATAACAGAATAAAAAGGAGAAATGTTACACCCAAAAATTTTATTTTGTTTGGGATGAGATAAATAAATATATTTTTTTTCTTTTTACGAAAAAATGTGCAGAAAAGTAGAGGGATGATGTGATGAAAAAAAATAAAAAGATAAAAAGTGTGTACTTCTTTAGAATAGCCAAACTTGGCCTTTTGAACATTGATCTTCTTCGGTTTAGATTTTGAATTGGGGCCAGTGAGACACATTACCGATTCTTTCCATCTTTGTATATTTTATTTAAAAAAATTAGATTAATTTGATAATTATAATTTATTTATTTTTTTTACTTAAAAAATAGATACTAATTGTGTTTTTAAAAATAAATTATATATTTTTAGTAATAAATGTAATAAATTGAATAAATCACAGTTATCAAATTGATTTAATTTTTTTTTTGAATGAAATATATAAAAAATTAACAAAAAAAACGGTTTAAATTATTGAAATAGTACCGTGATGGCTCTTATAGTCCCGAATAGTGTCCTCCAGACTCGAGGAGATCCTAATCTTTAAATTTTATACCATATGACTGTAATCTCACGTTCATATATTTCATAAAGAGTAATGTTAGAGAAATTAAATTATTTATTAAATAAATAATTAAATATCTCACATATGACATTTATTCATTTATTTAGTAGAAAATTATGAACATATAACATTTTCCTTTAATAAAACTTTTAGAATTAATTTTAATTATGGCGAGAATAGTTGTGAAAAAGTAATCTTGAAAAATCAAAAAAATAAACTTTTAGGGATAAAATTTTAAAAATGTTACTAATAAATGTATAGGGACGAAATAGGTTTATTTTTGAGACAAAACTTTTGGTTCAAAAGGTTAATAATTTATCATTAAATATTTAATTTTGTCATTAAAAATAAAATAATACACTTTTGACGACAAATATTTTGTCTCTAAATTGTTGTCTCTAAAATTTTAATTTCTTATAGTGATTAATGTGTTTATAAGTTTTTAAAAATCATTTTTTTTGTGGTGTTGATGTAATATTTAACATTTTTTGTAGATGAAAATAATTTAATGATTTTTTTTTTTTTTAACTACTGTCAAAAATTGATTTTATTGTTATAGGATGTGAATGGACAAATGCGAGTTAGTTTTTTCAATTCTATTATTATTATCATTATTATTATTATTATTATTATTATTATTATTATTTGGATTGGATTTCTTGACAAATCTAACACACGCAGACAGATTATGTTGATTTTATAATTTGTATTATTATTATTATTTGGATTGGATTTCTTGACAAATCTAACACACGCAGACAGATTATGTTGATTTTATAATTTGTACAACGAATATGCGTGTATATATGGAAAAGAATGATACACAAATTTGTTCTTTACACAAGATACTATTTCTTGTTAGTCTTCCCTCCTAGATCCTAATGGAAATATGAGAAGCTCTTAATGTTATTCAGATTAATCACTTTTCATGCTAAAATAAGACGTATTAATTGGCTTGGTTCTCAATTGCAGTTTGTGGAGTACCATAAGATGATATACTTGGACGGAGACATCCAGGTGTTTGAAAACATAGACCACCTCTTTGATATGCCAAGGGGCTACTTTTATGCTGTTAAGGATTGTTTCTGTGAGAAGACTTGGTCTCACACCCCACAGTATCAGATTGGGTACTGTCAACAATGCCCTGATAAGGTCCAGTGGCCTGCAGAGTTGGGTCCCAAGCCTCCCCTCTACTTCAATGCTGGCATGTTTGTATTTGAGCCTAGTCTATCTATTTACGATGACCTCTTGAATACTCTCAAAATCACCCCTCCTACCCCTTTTGCTGAGCAGGTAAAAACTCATTTTTGTTATTTTAGAATCTAAAATCTTTGTCTTAAAATTCAAGTCCCTTTATTACAATAGATTTACACTCACATATGGCGATGAGAATATCAAAACAAAAAAATCTTGAGACATGATTGTACGATTAAAATTATATGGAAATAGGGACATGTATTTTGGGACAAAGAATTCGTTATATATATATATATGTATGTTTCAGCTCTAATTTTGTCTGGGGCTTAAATGGTTGTGCATGTAGGACTTTTTGAACATGTTCTTTAAGGATGTTTACAAGCCTATCCCACCAATTTACAACCTTGTTTTGGCTATGATGTGGCGTCACCCAGAAAACATTGAGCTCGACAAAGTAAAAGTCGTTCACTATTGTGCCGCGGTGAGTGATCATTCCCATCCTAATTGTTTTCATTGTCAAATTTTTTAAATAATTGAATTTCATATTCTAAAGGTGTAAATTTGTCATTTGGGTTTGATTCAGGGATCAAAGCCATGGAGGTATACTGGAAAAGAACAAAATATGAATAGAGAAGACATCAAGATGCTAGTAAAGAAATGGTGGGACATATACAATGATGAGTCATTGGATTACAAGAGGATTAATATATCACCCCTTGAAGGTGAAACTAACAAATTGATAGCAATGGCATTGTCGGAGGCTGGTCATTGTATTGCCGCCCCATCCGCCGCTTAGAATTTTTTTTTTTTTTTTTTTTTTTTAGTATGTGAAAATTTGAAACTTTATAATTGTACTGGTATATGAATTTTTTTTTTTTTTTTTTTTGTAAGGTATGTGAAAATTTGAAACTTTATAATTGTACTGGTATATTTGAATAGTTATAAATGTTGATCTTCGTTTGTTATTTTTATATGGAATCAAAATATTGGTGCTCTGGTATTGAGCTTGTGAGTATGTATCATTAAATTATCTTCTTCAGCAGTATTAGTAGGTATTTTAATATTATAATGTGTTATAGATTATATTATGTAATTGAGTTTCAAATAACTTATTTTCTTACTTAATCATTTCTTTTCTTCCAAAAAAACTTGTCTATCAAGTCTCCAAGTCAAGTCACTAAGTCATGTCTTCATTCTTATCCACAAAGCTTTTAAGAAAATTTCCCACAAAGTTTTCTCACCTCTAAGGAAATTTCTCACTAATTTCCTTTTATATTTTTCATCTAAGTTAATTCCTTTCTTGGTGACCAAACTTTCCTTTCCTATAAATTGAGTTTTTCGCATTTCTTATTGGTAGCTCAAATTTCTTATTTGATAGATTATCAGGCAAAGAAATAAAATGTGGATGTGATGAAGCTTTGGGTTTAACCAATTGTGCAGTATTAGTGAATCATATTCTGTTGTATCTTGGGAGGACAAGTCATGGTTTTTTCTGCTTCATTGGTGTGAGGCTTTGCCTAATCGCAGAGGATTTGAATTTTCTTAAAGGGAATGAATTTTCCGCGCCTCAGCCTTTACAATAATTATTGTAACTTTTTTTATTGATATTTTCTAGTGTTTTATTTGTAATTATCACCAAATAGTTAATTGCTTAATTTGGTGTAACTTTTAAGATATTTATTGTGAACATTTATAAAGATCAACTATTACGAAATGGTGATTTTGGGAGAATTTATCATTCAGTCTGTTATGGTTTTGCGTGATATAAAAATTGTTCTTCTATATATGAACACATTCTGACGTGAATTTGTTGTAAAACATGTGGATTGATCACTTTTATTTTGGCTTAAAGTTGAAGTATGTATTATATCTATTTTTATAGCAAAGTCAACTATAATATTTTTGTGTTAAATTACAAAATAATTTAATAAAAAATAAGATTTTATGTAGCATTTTTCCTTAGTCCATACGTGTCTTGTTTTATTTGCAACCGACTAAAGTAAACTAAAACACTTAATTCATTATTATTTTCAGTCCATTTTTCACTGTTTAGATCATGGTTAGTGGTTAAGATTTATAAAAAGAAAAATAAAATAAAAGTTCCCTTTTCATTATTTGAATCATGGTTAGTGGTTATGATTGAAGAAGTATTGGTTAGATGTTGTAGGAGTAGTTAAGTTATTTCGTTCATTCAACAGTTCTTCCATAAATGACTAGTTCAAACATTAAAAATTTAATTAATAGGAGCATAGGATAACAATGTTCATGTTTTGATGAAAGAATATGTGATGATGATTCTTTTAGTTTGTTAACACGTTAGATCGAACCGATTTACCTACTCGAGAACCAGACTCAGTTCACTATGGCTTACTATCATTAACTATTCAAAGCTCCGTATTTGGGAGGCATACTTACAGTAATACTATATACTCAAAAAAATTTATTTAAATATTAATGTGATGCATGCCTCATATTACACTTATTCAATGTTCATCACACTTAAATTCTAGACAAAAAATTTGGATCCACTTTTTGAGTTTCGCAACTTTCTGGGTATGTTAATGATCGCTACCACTTACTAGATAATCCGTGATGTATGTGTATCACTATGTTTTGTTGTCTCTTTCAGTTACATACATCAATTTACAAACAAGGGCAAACTTTACTTTATCCCATGTGATTTGAGTCGAGTGCAGTTTATCCTAAACGCTGGCCACGACGGGATTGGCACCTCGTGAAACAGGGAAGGGAAGAGGTTATAAAATGCAAGGTTCATAAAAAAAATGTCCCAATCGAACCTCGTGAAACAGGGGAGGGAGGTTGAGAGCGGTTTTGGATTTTAGTTGCCTATGCACCAAAGGACGAGCAACATCAATGCTGCTTCTTGATTTCTGTTTTACAGTAAAGGGCTTGGACCATCAAGAAAAGTGTCCCAATTTAGAATCTGTATTCAGACACCCAAATTTAACAGCTTCCTCTATATCTTCTTCGTAACTTCTTTCAAGTTCATCCAAAATGTTCTTATCCAAGTTTTCAATGCAATAGTGTTTCTTAAAACTAACAACTAAATACAGATTAATACATATATACATATATATACAGATTATATAAAAATACAAATTATATATGTACATTTACAGGTTTAGTCCAAGAATATATATGTATATATAGTTTGTACATATATGTTACTCTTGATAGAAAGTTTGTGTGGATCAGTGGTTTGAGGTGGGGGTAAAAATAAGAGGAAAGGGACATTGGTTTAGGTAAGGTAAGGGGGATTGAATAGAGAGAGAAATAGATGAGAAAGAAGAAGGAAGAAGAATAATATATTTTTTTTATAAATTTGAAGGTGAATGAGGAGTAATTTAGTATTAAAAATTCACTTGCTCTCCTTTTAGATGCACGAGGCTCACATTCCGTTAACTTAAATGGAAAAGCTTACGGTGTGCTTTGGTCCAAAAATCACAAGAGAGTTATGTAGTTATTTTTAAATGTTAAGGATAAATCACATTCGGCAGAAACCACAAAGATGGTAGAGTGGAGTTTGCCTTACAAACAAATATGATTACATGTGTTATGTCCTTTTTTTCATTCATAGCAATTGTATGAGATTTATTTTTTTGCAACCTTTGATTTTTAAGTGTTAAAAAAATTTAATGTGTATGGAGAATTTTTAAAATGTTTCTTCTTTATTATTGAAAAAATTGATGTATTATTTAACCTTTTCAATTGTTGATATTAATTTTTTGACTTTTTTTTGTCAAAAATTGATTTTATTGCTTTTGGATACAAAATTTTAGGAATAGGAAAGGAAAGGTAAAAGAGAAACTAATGTCCACTTATTTTTCCATTTTCCTAATCAAACCAAGGATGATGAGTTTACGTTTTTCCAATTTTATTTTCCTTTCTTGTTTGGATTCATCGATTAATCTACTCCAAAGGAAATTGGGGTTGGTGCCTTATAGGTATAGCACCGTGTTATGAACCCGTAAAGATGTATCGCGAATTTATTTTAATGATTTAAACCGTTTATAATGTAAGGTTCATTGAGTAGATCATTCATGAAAAAATCAAGTTAATTAGGCATCTGTAACTCATAACAAAACCACATTCATGTTTAAGAAAACCACATTTATCTGAATTTGAAAATGTAAACAGATGTGAAGCTAAGGGCCTGGTATGGAAATTAAGGAAAATGAAAGATTCGCTATGGTTTCAGAAGTCCATATTGGATTGGGCTTAGATGGGGGACAAGAATACCAGATTTTTTTCACATTTGTGCCAACAGGAGAAGAAGTAGAAACTTACTTGATTTAGTTCAAGTGAATGGTGTCAAAGTTGAAGAACCAATTGCAATTAAACAGGAAGTATGTAGGCACCTTTCTAGTTTGTTCTTTGAAAAATTGGGTTAACAAACCAAAACTTTCAGGACAATTTAAAACCATCAGTAAGGTAAAGGTTGAAGAAGTGCTGGAGGCTGCATTCTTTGAGGATGAAATCTGGCTAGCTGTAAAAGATTGTGGAGGAAATAAAGCTCATGGGCCGGATGGATTCAACATGACATGTATCAAAAAATGCTGGAGATTCATGAAGAAAGATTTCATACAATTTATTAAGGAGTTTCACATGAATGGAAAACTGGTGAAGGGCATTAATAGCACTTTGATTGTCCTTATTCCCAAGAATGATAACCCCTCTGACTTATCAGATTATAGGCCCATTAGTCTCATGAACTCAACTTACAAGGTTTTGGCAAAAGTGCTTGCAAGAAGATTAAAGATGGTGCTACCTAAGATTATAAGTGAAGTCCAGACTGCTTTTCTGGGGGTAAGATATATCCTAGATGGAGTGCTTATTGTTAATGAGGTGGTGGATGAATGGAGGAAATCGAAGAAAAAGGGCTTAATTTTGAAGCTTGATTTTCAAAAAGCTTATGACTCAGTCAATTGGAAATTTTTATTATCTATGATGGATAACATTGGATTTGGTGAGAAATGGTTGAAATGGATTAAAACCTACATTTTAACAGCAAGACTATCAGTGCTGGTAAATGGATCACCTATTGAGGAGTTTTCTCCTGGAAAAAGGGATTCGACAAGGGGATCCACTTTCACCATTCCTCTTCACAATAGTGATAGAGGGACTAAATATCCTGCTATCAAGGGCTAAAGTAAGAGGATTGATAAAAGGGGCAGTGGTAGGCTATCAAGAGGTTAGTATTTCTTATCTTTAATTTGCTAATGATGCAATAATTTTGTGTGAGGCTGAGAAGGAGGAGATCCTATCAATAAATTTTTTTTTAAGATGCTATGAAATATTGTCAGGATTAAAAATTAATTTCCATAAGAGTGCGATATGTGGGATTGGGATGGAGGATGAGAGTGTTCAGTATTAGGCATCATTACTCAATTGTGGTTGGCAAAATTACCATTAAAGTATTTGGGTTTACCTTTGGGGGCAAATCCAAGAAGAAAAAAGACATGGCAACCAATAGTGGACAAGGTGAAGATGAAACTAGCATCTTGGAAAAGAAAATTGTTGTCTTTTGCAGGTAGACTAACACTTATCAAGACAATACTACCCAAATTTACCTATCTATTATCTATTTATTTTCATAATGCCAAAATGGGTGGTAAAGACCATTGAAAAACTGCAAGCTGCCTTTTTATAGGGGGGTTCAACTGTGAAGAAAAAAAGACCACCTGGTGAGATGGAAGGAAGTTACCAAAACTAAAGCTCAGGGTGGATTGGGAGTAGGCCGAATTAAGGATCTCAATGAGAGTTTGCTCCTAAAATGGTGGTGGAGATATGGTTTTGAGAATGGATCATTATGGAAGACTGTTGTGACATTAATAGA